GGAAAGGACTGGACAAGTCATTAAGCTAAAGAGTGACTTCACTGCAACAATTACCAAATCCTTATCAATTCAGTATTTACAATTAATCATTGCAGCAACATATTCACTTCAATATAAGTAAAGCAACAAGTTTAAAAATATCTAGCAGTATTATGTTTTCCCTTAAAAACAGTTCTGAGGTAGATTTGTATTCTCATATATAACACACTAAACAAATGAATTCCAATTCAAACAGCTAATACTATAAACATTCTGAATTGTTTTGTTCTACAAGTATGAACAAAGTACGAAAGTTAAACTACCTAAATACTGAAAGTTTAGTTATGGAAAATGACTGGATGATGTGCTTTAACAGCATTATGGGCAAGCAGTAAAACAAACATGTTTTGCTGCAACTTAGGCAGAGGGAGGCTCAGGGAAACCAGAGAGAGAAGGAAAGTAAGAGATAAGAGGCAAAAGTTGGTATCAGTGAGATCTGGTGCTGAGTATGCCCCTTATACCTTACTTTGCAAACACAATGGAAATGCAAAAACAGGCTGGAAAAATTCCTCTGAGGAGAAAAATGTATAGCCTTATATATCCCTCTCCAGTATCTTCTTTAGCAATCTTGCCTTTGGTTTCAGTGTAACATGAACAGACCTATCTACTTACAAAAGCTCCCCTCTTCCCACCAGCCTTGTTTGTTATTTTATGTGTTTCTGCATCATTTGCAGAGCTTGCTTTGATCTACATTCCTCCTGGATGTGCGGTTTCCTTTTCGGCTACCAAAAGGAAAACTGTTTGGTTTGAGAATTTGCTTATTTTGAAGCTCTGCTGGCCCAAAACACCTATTTTTAATCCAAATGAACACAGCTCGGTGCTTTCAGCTCTTCAGCACTGGTTGCCTTCCTTTCAGGAAAACCCTCTTTGAACAAAAAGTGACCTCTTCATGCTTTAATAAAATGCCCAAACTGTAATTCTAGCTGGCATAAACGAGAGCATTCAGTTTGCTACAGATGAGTTGGAGTATTGACACTCAGGCACAATTTGATCCTTGAATTGCTTTGATTTTAGCACCATCCTGAAACGGTCGATATTTTATTCTACATCTGATACCCAACAACATGTACCATGCTGCTCTAAAACACCATCAGAGCACGTAATTAAGGATTCTCTCAGTATTTCTTTATTACAGACTCAATCTACCTTCATGGCAGAATTCCTGCTTCCTCCAAGGGTTGGCTGGGCTTTGGGGTGTTTGTGTATATGACTGTAAATCCTTCTGCAGGCAATATGTGATGTTGAACGTAAAGTCTGAGCCATTTTAATCCTTCCTCCTACTCTAAGAAGCATCACAATGCCCCCACAGTAGGAATAGCCCATAGACAAAACACAGTTCATAAATAACAGGTAAACAATCTTCAAATGAGAAGAGAAGACGGGACACATCCTTGGATTGACTCTCTGACTGGGAAACAGGATATATTCTTCAAGGACCTTGCAGGAATGGTCCCAGAGGACAACTAGAGATTAGATCTTCTCTTCTATGGGGTTAGGCCACAGGAGTTAACTTGGGAAACAATTCAGATAAACAAAGCACTGGCAAGAGGAAGGACACTGTGAGATTTTGCTCCTGTGTCTTTGCCAGACACAGGCCTTCATGTCAAGCTCCACATTAAGAACTTAGTTTCAAGTGGTAACAGAGCATGAACTGACATCACCAGTATTGGAATGAAGCAACCTATGATTCTGGAGGCTAATTACCTGTTGTGAGATGATTCTTAATGAGACAGCCTAGAATTAGAGCATCCTCATCCACTGACCAAAAGTAAGGGCAAATGTGCTTAGTGCTTAATAGATACCCAACTGCTTTTATAAGAGGGCAAAACCTGGAGATTCATCTTCTTCTCACCTGCAACCTGGCCTATCAAATGCAGTCAAAAGCAGACGTGCTCTCTATGATTAAGTTTTGTTTTTAGAAAAAAATGGTGAGGGAAATTAGTATTTGAGTGCACGTGCACACACAGGCACTGCCACATGTAGAGCTGCACAAAGAATGGGGGCAAGTGTTCCTACTTTGCAAGGAGAAAAACATTCCTCACAAAAACACAGCTATGGCCACTTCACCAGAGCAAATATTAAGGAAACGGTTATCAAGGATGAGTAACTGAAACATCTGAGAATAACTTCCCTTTTCCATATAAATATGTATATGTGTAAGGGGGGATAAAAGCAAATACATGGAGCAATATATGTGCATGTGCAATGTATATACCCACCCTTGTAAGCAGATATTAATTATGAAGAAGCTTTGCTGGAAGCTCCTTCATATTTACATATATATATATATATATGTAAAATATATGTATATTTTACATATATAGAACTTGTAAATTACTCTGTATTCAATCTAAAATAAAGCAAATGGAAGCTGTTTCCTGCTAAGTGCATGTGGATGAGGCCAGTGCAGCTTTTAATGTAAAACACAGTGGTTTTCTCCACATGCTCTCTTGAAACACATTTCTCTCTATCTTTAAAATATAAGGTTTTAATAGTAAAGATACATTAGAACACGGTGACGGTGCTCTATGTGTTTCTTTCTGTGATACATCTAAGGAAGTGAGAAGATTAAAATAACCCAGAAAAGAATTATTATTACTTGAGGCATCCAAAAAGCAATGCCAATGGATGATCCAGGAAAACACTTGGTTTCTTTTTTTTTTCTATACTTAAAGTATCTAGAAACATATACAAATTGTAAACCTCAGATAAATTAGCTAAAAGCAGCAAAACACCCCACATCCCAGCTGGCAATGCACTACAAAAGCAGCACATGAGGGTCACCCCAAAGCAGTGGCTGCCTCAGCTGTGCTGCCTGCCATCTTCTGCATTGCCAGGCCCACAGCTTGCACCCTTAAGACTTCCAACTGATCCACTTCAGTGATTAGGCTGATCCAAGGACACGGACAGGAGAGCAGGATTTAATGGGCAGGCAGGCAGGAAAAGTCTTTTAACACTTTAGAAAACATTGACTTGGTGGAAGGAATTGGCTAGCTCAAGGGATTAGTAATGAGATCCTGAGCCCCTTAGCTCTAGGTCACCACACTGAATCTGGTCCAGGTCAGCAGAAATCAAAAGCTGTTGCTGTTCAGTGGCCTTTGGGAAGTCAGCTGGTGGTCCCACCCCACTTACCTCTGGCAAAATATTTGTACCAAAACTAACAATAGCAGTTGGCAGCACATGAAGGAAAGGTTTAGGACTGGCACAGTACAGGAAAAGTCTGAGCAGAGAAAGATGTCCCAGCAAACACAGTAGGCTGGAACTCAAAAAAAAAATGGGAAAAGAAGCTCCCTGATCATCTGCAGATTTCCAGTGTGACTTGGGGCAGGAGACAGGATCCTGCTCATGAAAACTTTATTTCCCCATTGCTGTGGTCTTCACAAGGCATTTATGACCTAAAAGTCTCTGAAGGGCAGAGCAATTGCTGAAGTTCAGACTCTCACCTTTAAAATGGGAGTAATTAGCTCACAGGGCTGCTGCAGGGAGAGCCTCAGTGAAGGGGTGACAGAAAAGCTAAACAAGAAACACAGACAGGGGAGAAAACCTTTTCTACCTAAAATCAGGTCTCCTAAGTCCAAAGCAAGGCATTTGCTGAGTATGCACAAGGCTCCCATTTGCAAAGCTCTGTGCTTCATGTGCTTAAAAGAACAAATTCCCCTTATAGAAAAAGTACCCCCCAAAATCTCCCACATTTCCACTGCTGCCCAGCAGAGCAGCATCAAAGAATGCAGCTGCTCCCAGCTTTTATCCCACCTAGGATGAAATTCTAATGTCTGTGTTGTGCAGGAGGTCAAATAGATTATCATAATAGTCCCTTCTGGCCTTAAAAACTATGAAATTGGAGAGTGAATCCCACGATTTCGGTCACCATTGAAGGCAGGATGGGAGGCGGCAGACCTCAGTGATAGGGTGTGATATGGCAGAGTAAATCCAATGTTCTTAGGCCCTGTGAAGCTGGGAAAAGGACATTTTGCCTTCTTTGTTGCCCCTTTGGGACACCGAGAGAGATGCAGGTTATAATAATAAGCCCAGTCCACCCTCAATGCATCCTAAGATTATTGCCTCTTACAGGAATGGGTGCGTGAAGGATTGAGAAACACTACTTATTTTCAAACTGGATTAAGTCTTTCAAAAGCTAATAGGTTTCCAATGAGCTGTGGTGTTGCTGCTGCAGCTGCTCTAATTTGAGAATAAAAGAATGCAGGCTTTGTGCCTGGGGACCTGTTATTGATCCGAGCAAGAAGGATGGGAAGGAAGGGGGTAGAGGAGGGTTATCCTCCTTTCAGCTGGGGCAGGGGCGTTCTTTTCAAAGTCACATTATCTGCTAGTAACAACAAAACCTAACCCCATGACATGCTGCTCTATACAGGATTGCACTTGTTGAGAACCAAAAGCATTAGGGGGAAAAAAAAAAAACCCTCCACTGGCAACCTTGTGCAGCAAACTTCATTGAGGGCCCACGAGACTCAACAGATGGGTCTCGAGACTCCCTCATTAGGAAACGTGCCTGGCCCTTTGCATCTGCTGCCCTGCTCTGCTCTGTGCCATGCACTCATTAGCATCCCAGGCTCACAGATTCCTTAGCACGTGCTTCCAATAAATATTGCAAAGAAAGGAGGGGAGGAAAGCCACTGCTTGGAGCAGCAAGATGAGGGGTCACCCGCTAGGCTGGGAAATCCTTACACACACACACAAACACACACACGCAGAGCCCCAGAGGAGGCAGGACAATAAAAGGCACCCAACCACAAACGTGCAGTTAAAGGGACAGGTGTAGAATTGCTCCTATTCAAGTTGTGGCAGATCCCGATTCGTTCCCCTCTGCCACAGTAAAAAAAAATCATCATTAAATATATATAAACTCCCCCCAGCAATTCAGGGCAACACACAGATTGTGGATCTGCGAGAGTCTATTGCTCCTTTCAGACATAAAGCTGATGCACACTGGGTAATGCCATTACCTTCAAAGAAATCAGTTGGTTTTAAGGGTCCAGTTCTACAGTCAGGCTCTTTTTCTTTTGGGTCTTCACCAAGCTGCCACAGTGCCACAGATCGGGGGTGTCCTTCACCACACGTGGAGTGGTCCATGACTCACAGCCTGACATCAGGAGCAATCGAAGAGCAAATCATCTCCAGGGTGTTTGAAAATGCTGTGAGACAAAACAGGTGTCAGGGAGGCAGGAATGTAACACCCTCCAGGTACTGTGGAAAGAGCAAAGACAAACCTTTAACCAGAGAGGCAGGGTGACAGAGCGTTTTGCTCATACCCCCAAGAGTAAGGCCCTCTATTTGCCACCTCTCCATGGGGCCCCAAGCCTATTCCTACTGCATTCCTTCTCATTTACCCTTGTTCCCACTGCCCTGCTAGAAGCTGCAGGCACTTTTTCCATAGCTACCTCCAGAGTGGGACTTGGAGAGTCTCAAGTGATTAACTATGGATGTTGATACACATCCCTAACTGAAAGTTTTTTGTTCCTTGATTTAGGCACATTTATATTTCGGGCTGAATCTGGATTTTAGCATCTTTAATGTCTCCAAATGTTTCTTCAGGCCAAACGAAGCAACTCCCTCTATATCTCCCCCAGAGGAACAACTAAAATCAAGGCCCAGAATATTAGATCAGCCATGGAATAATGGCAGGCAAAGGCAAGAAGTTACATACTGTACACTCAAATTTAAATGTGTTAATCTGTTCGTTTTAGTCATTTCCTTAGCTAAATGACACCCCTGTGTACTTCAGTCTTGCACCCTCAGGATAGTTTGTGATTGGGAACGTATTGAACACATATTGTCACATGCAATTAACAATGAGGAGGAAACGATCTGCATGAAAAGAAAACTTCAGGCATTTTGATGCTGCCATAACAAGAAAATGAACCTTGGTCTGAGCACTTACTGAAAAAAAATGGACTCAAAGAAGCACCTTTGCAGAAAGCTGTGAGGGGAACCCTGCTGGAAACTTGGACCTCTGTTGGAAGCACCCGTTGTTCACTGGAGACAGGGCTCAGCCCAGGTTTCACTGCAGCTTCTTCCAGGACTGACAGGAATAGCTGAGGTTGCTGCTTATCAAAGGAAAGTGTCATCTTGTCTGTGACAGAGGTGCCAGCACTGCTCAGTGTCACAGTCTTTGCACCTACTGGAAGCTACTCCAGCTTGATAAGCTGTACCCCTGCTCAGACCTTAAACTGCAGCCTCAGCTCTCCCCTGTTTTTAGAAAGCAGGGATTTGAGATCAAATCACCGGTGCACAGGAACCCCACCACTGGGGAGGATAAGTGAAGGACAAAGCCAGGTTAATGGGGAGGCATCCAATCCTTGAAGGGTTAACAGAGAAACAAGCAGAAAGCAGGTTTTATGTGCATACAAATAAAGGAAACTGAAGGAGAAACAGCACTGTTCTCTGGAATGGAGTAAGCTCTCAATTTTAAGCTGCGACAGAAAGCAATAGTGTTATGGATTCACTTAATTACAGCTGGATAGAACTTAAAAGCTCTACAATAGATGTATTTTTTGGCTCTACAACTTTAACTCTTTCAGGGACTTTAATGGTTCTGAATGCAGTAATTTCTGAGTACCCCAGTCTTTTTTTTTTTTATTATTGTTCTCAGAGTATCTTCTCAAAGAGATTTAGTGCCTCACTTTAATTCCTGGGAGCTAATACACAGAAAAACTAAGGTGGGAATTCCTAAGACATGCACAATAAACACAACACAGTTATGAAATTTTAGTTCAAGCAACACACTCCAGGGAAAGAGGTAAGTGCTTGTAGCAGCAAACTGGATTTGGGTATCTGGTCACTAAAGCGTCTTCTCCAAAATCTTTTGTCACGTTTGAAAAGCTTGCCTGGAGATACAGCTTTAAGAAATTGCCTGACTTGGAAGAAATGGAAGCTTTTATGGAAGTAGCATTGGGTAAACTGTGCTCTTTCTCCTCACCTCTGCCACTTGCTCAACTTTCTCAGCAGAGGTAGTTTTCCCTCCTGATCCATTTGTGAAACAGCCTAACGTGGGGCGTGGCCTCCCCACGAAATGCTTCCTAATTAGTTTCTAAACATTAAATGATTATGGAAGCGCAATTCCCATTCCACTCAGGTGATGAAAAGCTTTACAGGAGTTCAGTCTCACTTTGTAATTAGAGAAATTAGCTTTCTAAGTTTAGATCACTCAACTGTGCAAATGGGTTCATCTGCTGGAATGTGTTGCTCCGAAATGCGTGTCAGCCAAGCAGCACGGCACGGTCCCTATCTCTGCCTCATCCAAGTGGGGAGGTCAGTCCCGGTGCTGCAAGAGGAAAATGAAGTGTTGTGGGTGTATTATAGGAAAGGCCTTATCTAAAAGCTCACTCATCCGTGATTGACTGCAGCGATATGTCCTTCTCCTTGCAACAGGGAAGCTTAACTCCCAGATAAAGGATTATCCAAGTGGATGAAATTTTCCCTCTTTCACTCAGTGTGGCCAGAATTATACCTAAAGCTCCAGCAAATTAATTTTAATGGGTAATTTCGAGGAGCAAAACTACTTTTACAAAAATCTACAGAAACAAAGGGCTTCTGTATCCTCTTTGCTGTGAAATGAGGTCGTCGAGCTTTATGAATTCTTTATGACTACGTATTCCACGTGTCAACAGAGTCTTTTCTGGTAGCCCTTTAACTGTTTTACTGGAGCCTGATGCAGGATCAGGCCCCCATGATTATGCAACTGTCTTGATCTGCATTACAGTAGTAAACAAAAGTTTAGTCACTGACTTCAAAATGAGATGGATCAGGTCCCTGAACGAAGAGTTTTTCCAGGGGCGCCATTCCAAGCTTACCTTCAGGTATCACAAATCTAAGGAAATCCTGTGGGATTGTTCACAGCCACGACTCAATGACTCACCGAGCTTTAAAAGGAAATTACAACTTTCCTAACACAAAGAATTGACTTCACGACACCTGACCCTCGTAAGCCAGGCACTCCCTCTGAAGGCTGTGATCCCCGTCCCACCAAAGTCCTGGGCAATCTCCCAGTGGCTTCAATGAACAGCTCTAAATTAAGGAACTGATTCAGGCCCAAAGCAAAGCAGTGCCTGTAATTCTGGACTTTGGCACAACTAAATGTCCACAACGGCTTCTAATGTGGATGTGATCTAATTATGTCGGAATAGGAAGATCAGCAGGAAGTAACTTTACGCAGTGTAAGAAGCCGAGTGCCAGACGTCGAAAAGTTCTTCACCAGCCACAAAGGAAGACACGTCGGCTCCACACTTGTGGGACGTGCAAGCAGAGCCCTGCAGCAGGAACTTTATGTGCACCAGTCTCTGGCTACTCAAAGCGGCTCAGTTCAGGCCCCCCGTGCCCACAAAGCAATTTGTATGTCGCTGTATCTGTAATGAAATTAGTACCTTAAAAAGATGCCCGGGCTGCAGGCACCATGCTCAGCCGGGTTTCAGTGCTGCTGTGCAGGGGTTAAAGATCTGCCCTTGAGAGCCTGGTGGAGAAAAGCAAGAGATGGGACTTCAAGGGTAAAATTCGGGACTAAATAAAGTGATTTCACCGCTGACTTCCATGGGGTCAAAATTTCTTCTGCGAGGGACAGGGTTTGCAACGCGCTTCTGCCACGTGACTCGTGCTCTGCCTTGCTTTACCTATCAGTAATACTCCCCATCTCAAGACACTGGGAGGCTTAATTCATTAATGCTTGCAAAGCATTTTAAGTTGTTGGACGAGTAATTGTGTTTGAGGGCAGCTACACTGCTGAGTCACAAGCACTGTGGGAACCAGAACTCTGGATTTCCTAAGCACTGGAGTCAAACAGGTGGAGTAACCTGTTACAGAAAGGTCAACTCCAGACCTGCCCTAAAGGTACAGAGCGTAGCAGCAAACAGCAGGGTATTTAAAGGCCCAGAGGAGGAGATGTGTGGCACTTGGGAATGAGTAACATCTATACAGGCTGTGGAAGCTAAACCAATACCCACTGGAAAAAAAAAAAAAGGAGAGAGGCACTGGTTCTTGTATCACCAAACTGCAGCCACGCTGTGGATAAAACACAATGAAGGTTTACCAGCCTAAGAAAAGTTAATTACTCCAAAAAGAAACAACCAATACTGTTGGAACTTGGGAGCTGAATGAGGCTGGAAGGAGTATTCGGCAACCACACACCTCACGGGCAATGCCAAAATTGCTGGGATGTGATTTGTGAACTCAAATGGGAAGTGATCTGCAGGAGTTGGATGGAGGTCTGAGCACAGCTCTAAGGTGAGGAGCACGAATACCACCAGCTTCCCAGCCTGAGGCACTCCAGAATGGGACACCGTAGCCAAGAACAGGCACGCGTTTTGCTTTTGCCATAGGAAATGAAAACAAAGGATATAAAATTAGGTCAGAAATCTTGTTTTCCTCTGTGCCACTGACTCTGGTGTATAAAATAGACATTCACACATCTACTGTGTTAGATCAGGGTGGAATAGGACATCAGAACACAAGAATAGCTGTTCTGGGTCAGACCAAACGTCATGTAGGCCAGGTTCCTGTCTCCAGTGCCTCAGGAAAAAAGGGACAGGGATGGAGCAAGTTCCCAGCAGAGTCACCGACTTCTAGACCAGCAGCCCAGGGACTTCCCAAACCAGAGACAAAGTTAGGGGTGGGGTTTTTGGGGTTTTGCCTTTTTTTTTTTGTTCAGTGCCCTTTGATGTGTGGCTCTTCCTCTGGGAACAACTCTGAATGCTTTCTCTGCAAACTGTTGGGCTTCTCAGCGCCCTGTGGCCTGTGGCAGGGAGTCCCCCAGGTGACCACCACCTGTTTGTGTGACTCTGGACCCTGTTCCTGAAAGGATGCGTGAGGCAGACAAACCCCAGCAATCCCCTGGAAGCTGGGACGAACGTCTGCAGTGCGGGGAACAGGGTCCCTGATGGAGTCTGAGCCAGCACTCACTTCCCGGGACTGATCGGCTGAGGGATCTTTCCTCCCACTTGGACCCCGGGAGGCCCTCGGCGGTGCGGCCTCGTGCAGAGGAGGAGACAAGGAGTCGCACGGTGGCGACTGCCGCCTCGGCTTCCCTCGGGAGAGCCGCTGGCCAGAGCTACCTCAGAGCCCCGGGTCGGCCGCCCCTCCCGTCCCCTCAGGGAGCGCCGACCCGCTCCCGCGCAGCGCCCCCCGCCCCGGCCCGCCTCAGGCACCGCGGGGCGGGAAGGGCGGCCGCCGCCGCCGGCCCGGGGCAAGGGTAGAAAGGTTTCACACCGCAAAAAGCGCTCCCGAACTCTTCATTCCTCTTTCAACCGGCCCCGAGGAGGAGAGGAGGGACGGGCCGCGGCTCCCGGGCGGGCGGGCGGGCAGGACCCGCGCGCGTCCCCTCAGCGAGCGGCGGGGCGGGAAAAGCCCCCCGGCCGCGAGCGCCGCCGAGGGCGCGCCCGCCCCGGCGCTCCCAGGGCCGCCCCGGCGCGGCTCCTCCCGCTCCAGGTAGCGCTGGAAGCACCTGCGGAGCGGCGCTTCCCGAGGGATGGGCCCTCGGGGCAGCCGGGGCGCGCCGTCTCCCTCAGGCGGAGGAGGCGCCGCCCGCAGCTCGCTCCATGCCATGCCATGCCATTCCGTGCCATCCCTCCTCTCCGCCTCCTCCTCCTCCTGCCGGTACCTGCCTTCCCCTGACCGTGCCGTACCATTCCCCTCCTCCTTCCCTCCCTCCCTCCTCCTCCTCCTCTCCCCTCATGCATATGGATGGGCGCATGCGCCCGCCGCCCTGGGCTAGATGAAGCGGAGCGGCGGCGGCGCTCCCAGACGGGCGGGCGGCTGCGGGGCGGTGCGTGTGCTGCATGTGCGTGTGTATGTGTGAGTGTGTGTGCGTGTGTGTCTCGGGGGGGCGAGGGGCTCCGCCGCAAGGAATAAAAGGATTGGGATAATAATCGCAGTAATAAAACAAACAAAAAAAAAAAAGGACCAAAAAAAAAAAAAAAGAGAGAGAGAGAGAGAAAAGAAAAGGGAAAGAAAAGAGGGGAGGCGAGAGAATAAGGCGGATAAAAGGAGGCCGGGCTGCTTTGCATTGAAGAGCGGGGCGCTATTGAAAGCGCTTGAAAAGCGGCGTTGTCCGGCGCGGGTGCGCCGCGGTATATTAGAGCGGGGCGGCGGCGGCGGCAGCAGCAGCGGCGGCGGCGCCTCCTCCTCCTCCACCTCCTCCTTCTCCTCCTCCTCCCTCCTGGCCCTCCCCGTCCCGTCCCGACCCGGAGCGAGCGGCGGCGGCGGCGGCCCTGCAGGCGGGCGGGCGGGCAGCGCGGCGGCGGCGGCGGGCGGCATGCGTGCGCCCCGGCGGGCAGCCGCGGCGGCGTGCTCCATCCTCACCCTCACCCTGCTCCTGGCGCTGCGGGACAAGGTACGTACCTGGGCAGCCCCGGGAATTCTGCCGCTTCTCAGGAGTGCTTGCGGGATTCGGGTTTTGGGAAGCCCGGACGGGGCGCTCCTTGCGGAGTGACTCCGGCCGGAGCGGAGCTGCTGCTGCCCCGTAACTTCTCTGCAGGAGCGCGCCTTGCAGCGAGGCTTAATTCCGCGGGAATAAGAAATGCGATTACTGCATTTTTATTTTTTTTTTTTTTACCTCCGAAATTACTTATTTCACCCCCCTTTTTTTATCCTTTTTCAATTTATTTTTTTTTTATTTTTATTTTTAATGAGCCTAATTGCAGCACTGCTGGGCTGACTAATGAGCGGGGTCTGAGTCTCAGCTGGGCAGCTCCGGCTCAGCTGCACCCCGAAGGAGCAGAGGGTTTGCTCGGTTGCCTTTCCAGGGTGTGCATTAGCTACATCGTTTTGTTGGGTTTGCCCTCGCGTATGCACCCTTGGCTTGGTTTAATTTTATTTCCTAACGATTTGGAAGCCTTCCTCACGCTGGGTTGTTTTTTTTTTTCGGAGTTGGCACTTGAGGTTCTTTTTTAGCATTAATGGCGTTATTTAGTTGGGATGATTTATGAGCCCTTCTGATAGGGAAAAGCTTGGAGTGGTTGGCTTTGTTTTATTTTTAATGTTACGTGTGTAGTTCTTGAAAGCACACTTAAAATTATTTTCTCCTATCTGTAGAATTGTTGTAGATTGAGTCTGGAGAAAAAAGTGAGGTAACTGTCTGTTTCTTGTTTCTCTTTTTTTTTTTTTTTTTTTTTTTTTTTTTTTTTTTTTTTTTTTTTTTTTTTTTTGCTTTTTTTTCCCCTCCGGTTGTTTCTTGGGATTAACAGGTGACTTTAGCGTCGGGACAGTTCGAGTTGGAGATCTTATCCATGCAAAATGTGAATGGTGAAC